TGGGCTCTCATTCCAACACATGGGCGTCCCTGACAAATGTCTGCTTTTTATGAAGACTGGCGTGCGAATACCCCATAAATAAGCAGGAAAGAAGTATAATCGGGATCGCTTTGATTACTGCGTAGTAGGTATTGTTGCAGTCGATTGGAGCTATTTCAGTGGGGATGAAATGAGCCGTTCCGGCGTCTCCTTCACTACTGGTGGATCGAGGCAACCGGCGGCATCCTCGTTCCGCCTTGCTGACATCGCCCCGTTTGATTGCAAAGTTATTAACTGTATACTGCTATCTGGTCGGTCAACATTTTCTTTTCCGTGAGTCTCTGAGAGTTCTCGAAAACAGCACTCGAACTTGCTACCTTTTTCCTCATGCGAAAAATTGAAAAAAAGACTTGTCTGGACAAAATTGGCCGAAACTGTTGTTCGCAGACGTAAAAAATAGTGAACTCGCTCTGCTGTCTAATTTTCAGAGATAACTTTCGTTTCCAGCGCCGTCAACCTCTAGGCGTTCATCCAAAGCTATAGTTGCATTTGTGGAGATTAAATAGACTGCAGCGTTCTCTTTACAAAGTCACAATATGCAGTTCCCGAAATAAACCTCTCAGGAGAGACCCTGAGTACTTCAAAATATGGCGCAGCGTGGTTGCCTCTCGTAAAACCAGGGCTAATGACTGCTGGCTAATGACTGCTTTGTCCATGGCCTGAATCTTTACGATACAGCAATTCTAGAAACTCCATTACACTTTCAGATAAGTGATCGTTTGAAATGACCGAATCTAGGTAGACACTCCAGCTACTCATGCCGTCTCGTGACCGGTCCGATTAGTCCGGTTGCATATTTACGCTCAATTTTTCTAGAAAGTAATAAAAATTACTGTTATTTGTCGTGGACTAATGGCATCGTCAAGCTCTGGTCACTTGCCACTCTCTGTCTGTAGCTCAATCGAAGCTGGTCTAGTGGTTCATGAAAGCTATTGCCCTAGTTTCAGACTGATAGTTCACCTTCATTCTAAGTTAAAATTGCTCTAAATGGCGTGCTATTAGTAGTTCACTGTTACTGGTCCAATGGTGGGGCGTGAGCGCGGTAGCTATAGTTGGCGTCGTCGTAATCAGTTGGGGCGGTGTCAGGAAGTTCGAAATGGGCTTGCGTCCGACTCGTAATAAAGCTTCGAAATGGGCTTTGCGTACCGGAAATGCGCTTCTTAACGTATACCAACGGCAGGGCTGCACTTTACTTCGCAGCAGTGTCCACCAGCATTCAGGAGTAAAGAGTATGGGGAAGTAGGAGGGCAGCAGATAGCTGAATCAGGCGTCATAAGATTGCGGCTCGGGCAACGCACTGAAAATGTTGACCACACATTTATATAATTTTGATATTACATCGGATTGCACAGCCGCGATTCGCGACGCAAATCGGCTGCTGTTACCCATCTTACTTCACTGCACTCTATGCGTGAGGCTGTATAGTTGCTTTTAGCTGGAGGAACATCTACAAACTCTAATTTCTAATAAGCTGGGTAGACGCCGAGTTGGGTTGAAGTATGAAGCAGCACTAGTGTGAATTCATTGGGAGGAACAGTTAGTGATGACGACGCTGCGGTGGGGCCGTTTGTACATTCTTGAACCTAGTGATTGCGATGATGTCTGCTGTAAATGTCTGATAGGTAGGAATATGAAGGCATGTCATCGATGCAAGTGTGTTGTCGGTAAGGAACACAATGAAGTGTCTGTCAATTCAACATCCGGAACAAAATGGTTTTGCAAGAGCTTCCACTGCTTCTAACCTTTGCCCTCGGACCGAAAGTTGTATTCTCTATTTTAACCAAGAGACGGGCCGAGATTTTATGTTAATCGTTGCGATTATATGATTCTTGACCAACAGCTCTTTCAGGTTGCTTCCTGGATTCTTTTTAATATAAGCTGGCATTCTCCTGCTTCTCTTTTCTTGTAAACTCGGCATGCTAGTTTTAAAATTCAGTGTGTTATACAGGGGGGGCAAAAAAAAGTCATTTTGCCTCCATGACTTTCAAGGCGCTATAAGTTACACTTTATTAAATTTTTATCGGACATTTTTACTACCATATTAAAGAGCACATTAAATACTATAATGATACTCCGCCACAGCCTTCTGGAGGAGCGCCATCGAGAGATTCGGCCGCGCGAAAGTGAGTGGGTACCGGAGTTGAGCGAGGAGATCGTTGATTTCTCCGCCACTGTAGACCACCCTGTTGAGCTCGCTCGAACCGAAGGTATTGAGTGGCCGTTAGGTCAGGGATATTTTCAATATACTCTTCATCAGGTTACGAACCTTCCATTCGAAGTAGGCGGGAGTTTTTCCAAAACCCTTCGATTCCATGTGGTGGCCAAACCTGTAGCAGCACAAGGTCTCCAAGAAGGTACGGGGCGACAGTAGGAGAGATCTCCCTTCTCGAGTTACTGAAGTAACTCGCCAGCGGCTCACCTCCGAGTCGGGTGTCTACAAGAATAATATCGGTTCATATCTCAGGAACGGCCGGTCCACACCATCAACGACGCCTTGAGTGATGGGGGTTTTTTTTTCGCGGGGTGAAGATGATGTCCTGGACCGTAGCGACGTTGCCGGAGCTGCTCGATGTTGAGGTCTTGCAGATCAAGAGTACTGGTCTCCAGGTAGCTATCCATGGGTGATTCCATTCAAGAAGTTCCGCAGCTGTTTGGAGGCCACGTGAATTCCAAAGGCGTTCTCCACTCAGGCCGCGACTGGAGATGACTTCATATTTTGGTGTACATGAAGGTGAATGGCGGCAGCCTCCTGCTTATAGAGGAAGATCTTGGGGGGCTTCTTCGCCCTGGTACTCATTTCCACTTCCTCTGTCTGGGCTTGCGAACTTCGCCTCAATATTGTTATATAAGACCGGAATGACTTTTTTTGCCCCCACCCTGTATTGTGCTTCACGAGGTTTGGTGGACTATTCAGGAACTATTTATTTAACGGCCTGACGTTTCGACTAATCGTCTTCTTCAGAGGCCTAAAAGTGTTTCGAGTTAAGAGATGTGCACTACCCCGCCAAGCGCCTAATCCACCCCAGCATTTCCGATGACATAGTGAAACTCAACCGAGAATCTCACACAACAGAACACGAAGGCGCTCACCTTTGTTCCACCGTAGACGCGGAAATCCGCTATTCCATAAGTCAACCAGTAGCGAATGAGACTCACTACATATAGCGTCTCCTTATACGTATCGAAACGCCGAGACGCACGTAGCACTGGTGACTTTATAGCTCGCAATACGGAATGAACGACAGGAGGTCATTGGAAATTGACGGACGCTCGTCTCGGTTGTTCATGCGTTAATTATTAGGGACGTGTGACAAGCACAGCATGAGTTTTTAACTTTTATATAACGAACAATCTTTTAAGACACAGTGTATGCTTGGAAGCGAAGTTGTTACTTTCGCTAGCGAGGTGTGCAGGTCGCAATAGAAGCTGGGTACCACTCCCCCATATAAAACTGCATGCGACTAAAGCTGTAGTTTTGGAGAAACTGATTGTCCTTTCATGTCACCTGCCGCGTGCATCACCAGTCTACTGTCGACTCTACTCAAAGGCATAAGGCGGATAAGTTGGTACTCGGTCCAAAATGGTAGCAGGGGTGCTATAGTGGGGAGGTGAAAAATAGAAGCGAATTGGTCAAAAACCCGCGAAGTCTTTGTTCTACACGACTCAGAAAGCGGTTTTGGACGAGTTTCCTGCTGGCATCGTGCCAATAACCGCTACGGTAGATACGGCTGCATGTATGTACTCATATATCCATGCAGCACAGCGGCCGCTTGATATCGATTCCTTCGCTTCATTCTGTAGTCCGCAAATGAAGCGATACGAGCACCAGCACCGGTCGGACATTTATGGGCGGGCGGACGCGGTGGGCGTCCGGGTCGGTACATATGTTGCACCTTGATAGGGCGCTAAAAGCTCCCTATCAAGGTGCAGGGAAAAGGCGCTGCACAACGCTCGCTCAGGGATGCCGAACTTTGTCCTGCTAGGTCTACTAACCCTACACGTCTTGGGGAGTTATCGTGTCACTTGCCTTTGACACCTTTAACCTCGTGAGTTCCGTTTTTCTCCGCACTCTCCCGTTTACAAAATCGCCCATAGCCCACGGTTACCTTGCACATTCCAGCGTTTCACACACAATAAATGGCTTATTCACCTCCTTTTCCCTTCCTTTTTCTGAAATTCCTTTTTCTGAAAAACCCATCTCCTGACTAGCTACATCTCTTGCTTACATCCTGATGATTTTGCATTGCTTTGCTTCGAAGGCCGGGGGGGGGGGGGGGGGACCAGGCGGACTTCTACCTGTCTGCGCGTTACACGGTGTTGCAGAGCACAATGCCCAGAAATGTTGTTAGGCGCAGTGACGACGAGGGGGGGGTGGCATGAAGGCGCATGTTGCAGTTTCGTACCTTGAACAAATCCGGTTCACATGCCTCACTCCTGTGAAACTGTGATGAAGCCGGAACAAGCTCGTCGATCTTTCAACTGTTGCAACTCATGAAATAACTCTCTAGATTGGTCGACATGTCGACGGTAGCGAAAGTGCAAAATGTCCCCCCTCCGTCGCCAGTCTGATCTCTCCCCGCTGCAACTCCTCTTTTTCCGCGCTTGCTGTGTAGTTAGAACATAAACATTATGCACGTACCCAACCACGCCTGCCTGTATCACGAGCCTTTTCTGACCGCTATACCGTTTGCCGGGCGCCATTGTTTTCTTCAAGCTCGTTCCATTGCTTATTTCGGCGGCCTGCCAATATGGGTTCTACAGGACCTTCGCCGCACAGGTCTCGTGGCGGATGCGCCAGAGCATTTATTATTTATCACAGCCCTGTAACTTTATTGTTACGCACTTTCAAGCAGCGAGAGTGACACCACTTTGCAGCCTCAGACCTTGGCCGGGAAATTTCTTAAGTTCGTGGTAAGTACAGTATGCCTTTAAGAGGAATCCTGGACGCATTCAAGTGACGAATGCTATTGTTTGTCGCCGCACTAGCACGACTGGCGCTATGCGACGATGATGCTACGTGGTATTCATCAAGGATCTCCTCTCCCAGAGGAGGATCCAGGACTCTCATCAAGAGGGCTGCCGACGTCGATCTGTGTCAGGTGAGCAGGCTTACATATGCACTCGGCTAATTTCAGCCTGTACTTTACATGCATGCCTAACAGAGCGTTGCTAATGGCGTGTAAAAAGGTGTGGAATGAGCTAGCCTAGCCCGCGGCTGTTTTTTCCACCAATAGTTCCCGGTTCCAACAGGGCACTATGGATAGACAGCGTAATGGCGGATAGCCTATTATCAGGCCTCTTGATAAGCCCATCGCTCCGCCATGTGGATGAGTAGCTAGAATGCTGAGTTATCGGGTGATTTTCAGATGCCACCAGACAGCGGTACATGTAGCCGAGAGTTGATCAGGTACTACTACGATCCAAAAGAAGGCGACTGCAAGCGTTTCACTTACTCGTGAGTTGCATATGTTCCACATTGAGAGAAAATAACAACTAATCAGCGGAATATGATGCGCGACCCTCCCTCTTGAACCCGCTCCAAGCCTGCTTTTTTTTCGAACAAAACCAAAAGTCAAAGTTCCTCTCCCCTCTTTGAGCCCTTCCTCACCCCAGACCGTTCTGCCTTCACGTGTGAACAGTAAGTGAGCTATCATAGTCTTGTAAGGCTCCAAAAATGAGCTGCAGCTGCCCGGAAATTGTGAGGTAAGGGTTTGGTCACGCCAAACCAAGTCAAGATGTGTCCATAACTCGGCATTCTTGTGATTATATTCGAATCACGAACTGCGGCGTTTAACAACAGTTACCATAATATAGCAACTATCTTTTAGGGACATACGCCTTTACTTTTCTCCGCCTAGGCGCTCCCAGTCATCGCATCGCTTGCAGCTACGCCCCTTTTTGCCCTCAAATGTGAAACCGAGCGGGGTTATCAAAGCTTG